GGCCACGCCCCCGTGACGTGTCACCTCCGCGCGCGCCTATTGGTCCGCGGAGCCCGTGGGCGTGGCCAGCAGTCCTGCAGTGCCCCCAGCGGTGGGAGGAGGTCACTGCACCCACACCGCCTTACCGAATTTATTAATTTTTTTTAGGCGTATCTCGTTATTTCCTGCGTATTTCGTTGTCACAGGCTGTTGAGGTGATGGTGGGGAGAGCCCGAGGGAGGGATTGGAAGCACAGAAAGGTTCAACACAGACACAAAGTGGTGCCAGCCCCAAGTAAGAATGAGGTTCCCGTGCTTATCTCCAGTCTCACAAATAAAACAGCTAAATAAATTACTTTAAATAGAGGATTGGGGCGTTTGCCAATCAGTTTCCGGTTTGTTTTTCCCAAAGTTTCTGTTTCACACTCGTGGATGGGGCACAGCCCACCCTGATGCTCCATTTCCACATCAAAGAGGCACTTGGGATCTAAACCAGCAGCAAAAGCTTCAGTAAAATCAAATTTCTACCAGTTTAAAATATTAAATAACATGTTTATTACTCCTGGTATTTAGAGGTATCTTACAACAGATACACAGTTTGTTACCACAATCCCTAAATCCTAAGGCAGAGGTCCAAGGCTGCTCCATGGCACTTGGAGCATGAGGGGAGGATTTCAACTCAGTCTTAACATCTGTAATGAGGAGAGGAGGGAGATCTGACCTGGAGAAGTGCTCTAACTGGAAAGGTTGTGGGTTAGCCTTTGCTGGTAGCTCCAGCAACACGCTCTGGAGGTAGGAGGTGGGAGATGCTGGTCTGGCTGGAGCTCTAGGAGAAGACAAGTGTTGTAGCTGCTGCTCCTCCCTCAGCCCATCCATGTCCTCCCTCCTCTAAGGCAAATGGTGAAGTCTTGAAGGTTGAATATAATATTGTTTCTTTCATTTCTTCACGAATTCTGGTGGATTATGAGTTTCCTCTCAAGTGCTGAGCTGGGAAGGAGCACTGGAGGTGAGAGGGAATCCTGGCCAGTGCTGGAGCTTCATTTCCCCCTCCATCCAAGGAGGAATCCACTCAGTGTCACAGCCTGCAGGATGCCTGGGACACCTTGGAATTGGTTCTTCTGTTCAGAGCGTTGCAAATAAATGTTCCTGTGTCCATCAGCTTCTGCAGATCCACACCCTTCATGGGAAAAACACAGGATTGGTACTGGTTCTGTCAGGAAAAGCTGCCCAGCAACAACTGGAATCACTGGGAGAGACTGGCAGGGGGTGAGGAAACCTCTGAAGGGAACTTTACTGAGGCCTCAGTGCCTGCAGCTCACTGGTGCCAGTCTGACAGTGAGGGGCAGATCCCAGGGTATGAGCTGGGAGAGAATCATGGAATCCCAGAATGGTTTGGGTTGGAAGGACCTTACAGCCCATCCAGTCCCACCCCCTGCCATGGGCAGGGACACCTTCCTCCAGCACAGGTTGCTCCAAGCCCCATCCAACCTGGAACATTTCAGTGATGGTACAGCCACAGCTGCTCTGGACAATCTGTGCCAGTGCCTCAGCACCTCACAGGGAAGAATTCCTTCCCTGTATCCCATCCAACCCTCTGGCAGTGAGAAGCCATTCCCTGTGTCCTGTCACTCCTGTAAAACATTCTCTCCCCATATCAGCCCCTTCAGGCACTGCAAGATCTCAATCAGGTCACCCTGGAGCTTCTTTTCTCCAGGCTGAACAAACCCAAGAGAATCACAGAATCAAACAGGTTGGAAAAGACCTCTGAGATCACCTGCTCCTGACAGAGGGTTGGGATTGGTGTGGAAGGACAGAGCCTGTGGGCACAGCCTGGCTGAGCCACACACAGCCCCAGTGTGACCCTCCAGCTGTTCCCAGCACGCTCAGGCTCCCTGGGCCAGATGCTGACACCTCAGAGAGCCTGAGCAGAGGCACTGAGTGAGAGACACTCACGCTGTGGATGCCCAGCCCATTCAGCATGTACACCAGGTCCTCCGTGGCGACGTTCCCCGACGCTCCCTGGGCATAGGGACAGCCCCCGAGGCCAGCGACGGAGGCATCGACCACACTCACCCCCATCTGCAAACAAACACAGTCAGTGATGCTCTGAGAGGACAACAACCTGTGCCCCTGCTCCTCCAATGCACAGCTCACAAGCAAACACCAAATAACCCCACAGAAAGATGCCCTAGTAATGATGGTAGGGTTGGACTCGATGAGCTTTGAGGTCCCTTCCAACCAGGTTTATGAGCGGAGGCATCGACCACACTCACCCCCATCTGCAAACAAACACAGTCAGTGATGCTCTGAGAGGACAACAACCTGTGCCCCTGCTCCTCCAATGCACAGCTCACAAGCAAACACCAAATAACCCCACAGAAAGATGCCCTAGTAATGATGGTAGGGTTGGACTCGATGAGCTTTGAGGTCCCTTCCAACCAGGTTTATGAGTGTGGATTCCCCATCCCTGGGAGTGTTCCAGGCCGGATGGGGCTGACAGCCCCCGAGGCCAGCGACGGAGGCATCGACCACACTCACCCCCATCTGCAAACAAACACAGTCAGTGATGCTCTGAGAGGACAACAACCTGTGCCCCTGCTCCTCCAATGCACAGCTCACAAGCAAACACCAAATAACCCCACAGAAAGATGCCCTAGTAATGATGGTAGGGTTGGACTCGATGAGCTTTGAGGTCCCTTCCAACCAGGTTTATGAGTGTGGATTCCCCATCCCTGGGAGTGTTCCAGGCCAGGCTGGATGGGGTTTAGAGCAACTTGCTCTAGTGGAAGGTGTCCTAACTCGTGACAGGGCATTGGAATGAGAGATGATCTTTAAGGTCCTTTCCAACCCAAACCATCCCATGATTCTGTAATTCCAAGAATCCTACCTGGAGAGCCACCAGGATGTTGGCCAGAGCCTGCCCATAGGTGTCATGGCAGTGAACAGCCAAAGCTCCCACAGGCACCTCCTTCATGACTGCTGTCAGCATCTCCTTCATGCTCCCAGGGGTCCCAATGCCAATGGTGTCCCCCAGGGAGATCTCGTAGCATCCCATCGAGTACATCTTCTTGGAGACCTGTCCAAACAGCAGGATGTGTGCTGAAAAAGCAGCTCTGTCACTCCCTTCCCTAGAGCTGGAGACCTGCTGTGCACAGGAATCCATGCATGGAGCACAGGAGACTCTTCCCTGGGATCAGAAATCTCCAGATGCCCAAATCTCCCTGAATCCCCCTGTGCATCTCAGCTGGACTCAGTCTCCCCTCCCTGTGACCTTCCCTCAGGCCTTGGTTAAATGGTCTGACACATCCCTCAGTGCCCAAAAACCTCTCAGGAATTCTGGTTCTGTTTATGATAACTCACCTCTGCAACTTTAGCTGGAGAAATCTTCCCTTCATATGGACATCCAAGGACACAGGAAACGTATCTGTGGTTAAAAACACTTTTAGCTAAAGAACTGAGATTCACAGAAACACATAACCCCAGACTGGTTGGGTTGGCACCTTCAAGCCCATCCAGTTTCACCCTCTGCCATGGGCAGGGACACCTCCCACCAGTCCAGGTGGCTCCAAGCTCCATCCAACCTGGCCTGGAACACTCCCAGGGATGGAGCAGCCACAGCTTCTCTGGGCAACCTGTGCCAGTGTCTCAGCACCTCCCAGGGAAGGATTCTACTGGCCAAATCAGACAGGACTTGTGCTGCACCTTACATGCTCTCTTTGAAGCAGGAATCCCTTGCTCCTGGATGGGATGGGAATGCTGGAGAATGAATTCCTTACCCCCTGACAGGAATGTTGGCTCCCTTTGCTGCTGTCATCACCTCGTCGAACCTCTCCAGACTCTCCTCTATGGAACAGTTGATGTTCTTCTTGGTGAACAGCTCAGATGCTGCTCCAAAGATTGACACTTCTTTGGCTCCTGCTGCCACCTGCCAAGAGAAATCATGACTTGGAATCACAGAACCATTAATTGAGGTTGGAAAAGACCTCTGAGGTCACTGAGTCTAACCCTAAACCAGCACTGCCAGTGTTAAACCAAATCCAGATGACTTCTCTTGCAAGGGAAATGATAAGCACAGCCAATGATTTCATGGCCAAGTGTTAATTCAAGTCTTCCAATGGTCTCTCTTAGCAGAGATGCCCCAAACCAGTCCCATAAAGCTCTTCCCCTTTTCTGTTCCTGCATAAATCTGCTTTGCTTACTTGAAGGTTGGACTTGATGGTCTTGGAGGTCTTTTCCAACCTCAGTGACCCTATGATCTTCTATAATCTCTGACTACAGTTCCCTCATTTTACAGAACTACTTTTACCCCATTTTTTTCTCCCAATAACCCAATTCTTCCCCCAGTTCATTCTGCAGCAAAACCCCCAGAACACATCCAAGTTTGTCTTTCAAGTGCAAAGCTACAGGTGCAGCAGCAAAGCTACATGTGCTGGGAGCAGCCAGGAGAGCTGTGGGACATCAGGAGGGGCTGACAGCACCACAAGCCTGTGATGCTGAGCTGCTTCCAGCCCTTACCGCGGCCTGGAATCCCTTCAGGTTTGGGGTTAGCACAGGGTAACTGATCCCTGGAAGTTTGTTGATCCCCTGCATGACCTCAGTGTGATCAGCCATCTGCAAGGCAAACAAGGAAAGGTTTGGAACAGTGACAACATTCACTGCTGCAAGTTATAACGTAATCATTACCATTTCTTCTTATAATGGGAAGAGGAATATTTAGAAGCAAGAGGAAAGGGCCCCTAAGAGCAAAGAGCATTGAACCCTGGGGAGGATCAGAGGTCAATCACTCAGCCAGGCCAGAGCCAACACACACAACCAACTGTTTGGATGTGACCTGTCCCTTTGCTCCTTCCCAGGGTCCAAAGGCAAGGTCTGGGATGTTGCAACTCCTTTATTTGGTTCATTCTTGCCCAGTAACAAGGATTTTTGAGCAAGCAGAATCACTGGATTACTGCATTTTTCTAACATGTAAATCCTGTTTGAACACTGACCTGAGGAACCCACTTGGGGGACACAAAGCTGGTGGCCTCTATGACCTGCAGCCCTGTCTCTGACAGCATGTTGATCAGATTGATCTTCACTGGGGTGGGCACAACATTCTAAGAAGAAGAAAAGAAAACAGCCTTAAGTAATCATTTCCACGATAAACTTTTCCACCACTGAAAAAATCCAAAGAACACAAAAAGTGGGTTTTAAACACAAACCAAGAGCTGTTGGTGGGCACGGGGGCACGTTATGGGTATTTGATGTGAGGGGCTGAGGATGAGCTGTGGGGAGATCCAGGGGTGTCTGTACCTTCTCATTCTGGAGCCCATCACGGGGTCCCACCTCCACCACCTTCACTTTCTTTGGGTATGCTCCAGCAGCTGCTGCAGT